TTTGAGTTTGCGAAGCGTCCCCGTCCTCGGCTTCTTGCATCGTCCAGTACGCAGAATGAGAGGCCGCGTCGTGGGTGACGGATTACTCTCCCGCGTCTTCATCTCCACGACACGTCGGCAGGAGAACCGAGCTATCCAAAAACCGCCAATGTCAAAACAAATCCGCAAGTCCACTAGTAGTGCCTAGTGGCTGAGCTTCTTCCTCAAATCTTGTCTCGACTCGAGCACGCGCTGCGAAGTCATGGTCAAATTGCTTATTTTTTTACTCGATTGTGCATGATCGCGTCCCATTTTTCCACTCCGAAAGGCATTATTTTTCAGAAAAAAATTCGGAAATCCAACATGGCGCTAACCGTCGCGAACCTCCTTAAGTGGATTTCGTTGCCCGGGCTGCTCGTTTTTCGCTTGCAAAAGGACATAGCCTCATGCAAGAGTCTGGAACCCTGCATACACCGTATTACACGAGGTCTGGCAAGGCCCACATTGACTGTATACAGTTATGTACATGTAGCCACGGTCTACGACTTGCGATCACAAATACATCTACTATCTGGAAGCCGAAGGACTCTAACGACCGTTAATACGTCCTGACGGATAAGGTCGGCCGTGACCGTGTCGCTGATCTCATTATGTTTCAGCGACAGGAAGCTATCTGTTGGATGATGGTCTCAACTTCAAAAAATCAGCAGATTCTGCTCGCGGCAGTGAAATTGGAAGAACCAAACAAACCTTCTGGCAGGCACTTCCTTGAATTCTGCTCCGTTTCTGTGTCCACATACCGAACATGCATGAAACATACCTGAAACCGCAGCGCTAGATTTATGGTCTTACATGTACTCCCAGCCCCCCCCCCCCCCCCCCCCCAACACACAATTGCCTGTATTAGGCATTGGCGGATAATGCTCGAAAAGGTGGCAGATTCTGCTCGAAAGGCAGTGAAATTGGCAGAACCATACAAACCTTATGGCGGGCAATTCCTCGAATTCTCCTCCATTTCTTTTAATATCCACATACCAAACATGTATGAAACTTACCAGAAAAAGTACCGAATTCTGCCAATTTTTTCTGCTGGCATTATCCGCATATGGCTAGCCTGTATGCTCCATGGTGACACAGTAGTTACCCGGCGCTCTTCCCTTGGTGCTATCCATCTCCCATTACGTTGAATCCAGGCCCTCTATTTGTTCGGAAAGTTTCGCATGGTAAGAACATCCACGGTCTACACATACTGATGATTGCTTTACTTGGCATGAATCTCCGGAAAGGACTCAGTCTCAGTGCAGTAGGCTTTACCGGAGTTTTCTGCCAAGTAAAGGAACACGAATCTCCTGAAGAGTCATTTTTTTACTCAACACGACTGATCCGTGACACGGCATGGGGCTGTGTTCCCAAAATAGTACTGGGGCCAATTCAAAAAATCGACCTCTACAATACATGCCTTGACACATGTTGGCTAACAAGGATTTTTTGGTGTTATTTGATAGATAATGTCTTCAAGAGTATCTTGGCCCAGTATGGCGTGTCCAATCGCGTCCAAAGGTCCCGAAATCACCCTCGATAGGAATACAAAATTGCCGAAAAAACTAAGTTCTCATCGGCTATATTCAAGCATTTTCAAGACTTTCTCGGTACTATATTGACTGGACCTGGGAGTTTTT